TTTCTGTCATGCAGACACGCAGTTTGTCATGCAGAATAGGCAACACCTAGAAGCTCAGAAACTTGTCATGCTGAGCCAGCACTTGTGGCCTCCTCACGATACGCCACCCAGCATCACAAGTTTCCAGACCCAGACATTTTTGCACTTGATATGAAAAGGTGATTGACGTGATTGGCAGTGGGTTGTTTGAAACGGTCATCCCTTTTTTGGTTTCGCTACCAGTCTATCAAATGCAAATATGTCTGGGTCTGGAAGGATGCGAGGTTTGTCATGCACATTTTGCATGACTCCTGATGTCTGTGATGCATGCCCTAGCATCACAGATTTTGTGAGGGCTTTCTGATGCCTATATCGCATGAGAAATGCCCTCTCGCCGTGGAAAAAAAAGGAACTCCTTTCCTGTTCATACAATACAGATTTTTGTAAAATTTAGACGCAGCATCACAAGTTGCATTCTTCCAGACCTAGCTAGACATATTTGCAATGCATACAGTCGTTGGAAACGCGATCTCCTCGATCAAGCCAGGGATCCGTGCGGCGTTCAACTACGTCGCGGAGAAGATTTTGGAACAGGCGGAGAGAATCGAAGACTGGCTGGCGGTATCCTGTGCAAAAGTATCGTATTCGTATGAATGCAAGTCTTGCATCACAAATTTTTTTCTCAAAGTAAATCAGCATGACAAATTTTATTTCTGATGCTGAAAAAATTTGTAATGCATTTGTACGAGTACGATACTTTTGCAGTTCATAGGCGGGATTCGGGGAAGACCTGGGGGAGAAGTTGGTGAACATGTTCCTCGAGCGGGTTCCGTGTCTGAACCTAGTGGATCAGATGGAGGAGTGGATTTTGGGTCAGGCGGAAATGGACGACATGACCGAGGCGGCGCTGACAAAGGAGAAGGAGGATGCAGAGGAGGAGGATGCAGCTGAAAGACATGATGTTGATGACAGCGCTGCGGGTAGTACTACAGTTGAGGAAGATGATGACGATACAACGGACGACTATCACGACAACGTTTTTGTCGCGGAGGAAGAAGATGATGACGATGAGGACCAAAACTTCTCTACTTCCGGCTTTTTTCAAAAGCGGATGCAAATGGATATGGCGTTCTCAATTGTTACATTCTCAAGTGCTACATGAATTTGTGATGCAAGAATGGCAACAGGAAAAGGCCGGATCTTGCAACTCTTGCATGGCAAATTCGGCACAGATTCCCTTTCCCATGCTGCTTAGCCCTTCCAAAATTTGTCATGCGAGGCAGCTTCACTGTTTGGACGTTGATGCTCATTTGGCATGACAAATCATGTAACATCAGTTGAGAATGTAACATTTGAGAGCTCCATAATGGACCGGTTTTTGCGCGGTATCCAAGACGACGTGGTAAAAGGACATCAAAAGCAAGGAGAAGAACACTTCGATGAGACCGACCCCAACGACGACGACGACGCGGACGAGACCGCGTTTGCCAAGGACATCGTGTCGGTCAAGTTGCTGCGTCGCTTGAATGTGCATGCTGGAACAACTACTGTTGCTGACCTGCAAGAACACGACTACAACCTCGATGTTGGCTTATTTTCAACGAACAACCTGACCCTGCTCGAGACGTCAAGCACTGCAGCGCTCGCCACTGAAACAAGCAAATTCCAGATGAAACAAAAGATGAATCTGGACACTTTTTTCAGCAAATTCAACGAGGTGAAAGAGCACATCGTCACTGAAATTGGGAGCAAACTACCGGAATTCGTCGACAAAGTAGGCGAGCTGGTGAAGAACACCTTCCAGGCCCCGTTGAAAACTTTACTCAGTAACAACATTCTTGCCAGTATGATTGCGATGCTTGCGAAGGGCTTTTGCCGCATCGTGGTGATGGCGTTTCAAGCGGCCATGCCCTTTGTCTATGCAAGAAAAAAACTGTGTACGTGTAAGTCTGTGATGCAGAAAATGCAAAACAGTTACACTTGTCATGCTGGATATGCATCAGAAGCTCTTTTCGTACGTGTTCTCACGTACTAGCCGCGCACGACAGGCTCTCTCTGTCATGCAGAGCAAATTTGTGATGCTATTCCTCCAAGAAAGTTACACTAACACAGTTTTTTTCTTGGATATTGTCAGCACGGCGGCGACTACGGCGGGGAACGCGATGCTGGGGGAAGCCAACATGAAGATGATTACGAGCGCTGCGTCCACGGTGATGCCGTGGCTGATCTCGAATTTCCTGTACGAGGCAACCCCGATCCACAACGCGTTGAAAATGCTCGTTGACAAGCTGCTCGCGGACGAAACCATCAAGGGCATTTTTGACGCGGTCGCAGAAGTGATGGAGAAGCTGAAGGGCATTGGCGCGTTTTCCTTGTTCACGGACGCGTTAGAACAGGCTTGGAACTCGATTAAGTCGAAGTTGACCGGGGCAGATTTGCCGAGCGAAGAGGTGACAAATGAGGTTGAGAAGGAACACGAAAATGCGCTGAGTGCCCTGATATGAAGTGCAAAAGTATCGTACTAGTAGTAGTAGAAACAAATAGCATGACAAGTTTTCATCTGAACGTGAGCAGACATGAGTTTGGTATACGCGGATTTACCTCATTCAACAAGAAGGAGATCGAGATTAAGATTTGCATTTGTAATGCATGATTTCGATTGAGTACGTGTACGACGAGTGCGATACTTTTGCCATGCATACCTGACCTTTACCAAAGCCGACCTAATCGAGGAGGAGCTCGCGACCGAGTGCCCCACTGGCTACGAGCCGCTGGCCGATTCCGACGAGTGCGTGGCGGCGATGCGACTGCTCTACCCCCCGGATCTGACGCTCGCGGAATCGGAGCGCAAACCGTGGAACCAAGCGGGTTTGAGCAAGGCGGAGAAAATTGCCGTCATCAGCGAGAGAAACGTGCCGCTGGGGTGCTTGAAAATATGAGAGCGCAAAACTCCCCCTCCCCATCATTTGTATAGCATGAACAGCAACCAATTGCAATGCAAACACCACCACACGTGGAGCCTATGCATGACAAATTTGTGTGCCAAATGTTGTAGTACTCCTGTTTGGGCTTCCGGGATTTGTCATGCAAACAGTGCCACAAGGAAGCGACTGGATTTGGGGCTTTGCATGACAAATGAGGGCGAGGGGGAGTTGTGCACTTTCATAGAAAAAGTGGGACATGGTGAAGCGTGAGTACACGCTGGAGTACAATCGGGAGGAGGAGGATGATATCCATCCTGTGCAAAAGTATCGTACTCGTATAAATGCCAGACTAGCATGACAAATCTGGTTTCTTAGGTAATTGAGCATGACAAATTCAATTTTTCATGCTGAGGAAATTTGTAATCCATTTATAGAGTAGGGTACGATACTTTTGCAGTTCATAGATGACGTTGCCGCGGGAAGGCATTTGCAGAAAGTGAATCTGATTTGTGTCAAGGTTTAAAGATCATAACGTTCGTGTTTAAGAAGCATTATTTTCTTTCACTCAGGAACGAGAAGTACTGCTACATGTACATTCACATTCAAGAAGTGGGGTTTGTTTCCTAGTTTTCATAAATTTTTTTGCATCCTTTGAGTTGATAAAGTTATTTGCGTTTCGCTTTCGGATTTTTTTTTTGATCACTTCGTCGTACTACCTAAAATATGAACAGCTTGCTACCTACATGACTTTCAGTTTCAACATTATACCACATTTTTGTATTGTTCATTCATCACTTATTTTCGAGGCTTTCCTGTTTAGCAAGAATTAGAATTACACCGCATCTTCGTACGTTTTCAAAATTTTCTGTTGTAACAGTTGCAGTTGGGTTTTCTTTTTTCATCACATGATGCACAACGTACTAATCTTCGCTTTATTTCAGACAAGCTTTTTTGGGAAACAATTGTACATATCAACTTTCACATAAAACATTTTAGCACGAAGAAGCGACGTAGCCGCGAGCCCACCGCTGGTTATTCGTGAGTGCTGCCGTCACGGGGGCAGCGCCAGCAGTTTTTGTTGAAACGAGAAGAATAGAGAGAAGCAGTTCTCTTTGCACAGCATCATGCGAGCGGATTGGGATTGTGATTTTCTTTTTGGTCTTGCTAGATTTTTCCACTTGAGAGAATTTTTATCGAACGGAGCGTTTGCACATGCACTACTCAGTGAGATGAGTTGCTTTTGACGAGAGATGAATTGAGTGACAACCACATGGGGTGGTCCACCTAACAGGTGGTCGGTACGTTTTTACTTGACTCTGGTGTCGGTACGTTTTTACTCAGGATAAAGCGTTTGAGACACTATAACTCGCCGATGGATCCGGAGAGGCTTTGGGTACATCTGAAAGACGAATACAAATTCCAGGTTGC